TTGTTTGGTAAAAGTTTGTATTCTCAAAAACAATGTTCTTGGGGAATGTCTCATTCTCCCTAGAAAAGGAATAGATATTACTGTCCCCTTGTATTAACCTATTCCTGTGTTCTCAGGAATATTTTTTTTTCTATTTTACCCTTTTATTTAACCTAAACTTTTTATTAGATCTTTCCCTCTTCCTCTCTGTCTTCGCATCTCTTCGCCATTTGCATCAAATGAAAACTTTAAACAAAGGTATTCTTCTAAAAAAAAAATTTTCTACAAATTAATTAATTACATACGTACGTACGCACGCGCGCATGCATGCATACATACATACATACATACATACATACATATATTGCAGCGGCGGCTCGGAGCTACAACCGCATATATAATATATATTGCTGCGACTACGACAATGTAATAATATTTCTAAAGTCTATTCATTCATTCCGATCCAAACAATATTGATGGAATAATTATGAACGGGTTCGGAGCGGATCAAACCCGGCTTGACCACACGCCGAGCAGACCACGAAGTGGTCTGCCACCCCGGGATTGGCCACATTGAGGTCGGCTTCCTCCGAGGTTAGCCACTTGGCCGAGCTCCGAGCTCGGCTGAGAGGCAGGGTCCTCGCGTTGTCTGAGTCTTGCAGCGATGGTTGCAGTCCAAGGTGGTTGAAGCAGCTCCCACCGCGTTATCCGGGATTGTTCTGGCGGATTAGAGTATAAAAACACTCATTTGTGTCTTGTTTATACATCTCTTGTCCTAATCACATATTTTTTCTCGTTATTACATAATAACTACCTTTGTAATAGCATTTTATATGCAATTAATATAATATTCTTCCCCGCGACTTATATTCGTATTGATATTCGTCACTTATTATCATTACCTTATCATTTACATTGATTCAATCCGTACTTGTCATAACTTTCCTATTTAACTGGGTTAATTAATTCGAACCCCCCGAGTTAATATAATCTTTCAAATATAATACAATTTATATTCTATCCCTTACATAGTCCATTCTTTATGGAATAATATTCATATTCTCCCAAAATTCATTATGTGAACCAAACATGTTGCAATAGAGGCAAAAGTATTTTAAAAAATCATAAAATTCTTCGATCAATTCCCATTATGGTCCCGATTCACGCCAGTCCACGCTTGGCTTCCTGGTCCCTTCTTCGGAGCGTTATGTTGTGCAACCGTGTGCACCATGCAAGGTGCACACAGAATTGGATTCATAATTTATATACTATAAATTCATAATTTCTATATTGTAGATTCATAATTTCTAAACTGTATATTCATAATTTCTATACTATAGATTCATAATTTCTATACTATAGATTCATAATTTCTAAATTGTATAGTTATCAAATTATGAACATATAGTTCAATGATTTGTGAATACAGAGTTCAACAATTGGAAATATGAACATTGAAAATTATGAACATAGAATTTTGTAATTGTAAATATAGAATTCAATCACTATGAATTTATAGTATAGAAATTATGGATCCAATTCCGTGTGCACCATGCATGGTGCACACAGTTGCATAGCATAATTTGCCCACTTCTTCTCACTGAAAACGATCGTGTTAGAAACTCGTCATTGGGTATTTTGAGCAGGAATTGGGCATTCGAGCCGGGGTTCAGTGACCCCAATCGTTATGCTATGGACCCGTGTTCAGCATGCATTGTGGACACGGTAACGGTGCCGTTAGTGGCACCGTTATCTTCCACTTTTTTTTGCTTTTGATATTATTATTATTTTATTTCAAACCGCTTCGTTATAAGAGTATATGTTCATAATTTTATCACTATATGTTCATAATTGTAAGTTCATAATGTCAGAGTTCTGTGTTCATAATTCCATAACTGCACATTCATACTTCCATAACTGTACATTCATAATTCCGTAACTGTACATTCATAATTCAATAACTGTAAATTCATAATTTTCGAAGCTCTATGTTCAAAATTTTAGAGCTCTATGTTTATAATTTTATCACTATATGTTCATACTAGAAATTCACCTGCGCGATGCACGGGGAAAAAATTATGTTATTATAAATATAAATAAAAAAATAGAAAAACTAAAAATATTTTAAATTGTTTAATATAATAATATTTTTGAACTTCCATTGGTCAAAGTATTTATTATTTTTATAGAATACAATATTATAATTAAAATTTTGTATGGCTAATATAATATCTAATTATGTACATATTCAAATAAACTTATAGAGAGAATTTACATAATTACATTGATTTATTCTTAATTTTATTTCATCTATATTATAATATTCACAATACGAATAATAACTAAGATAATTACATTTAGAAAGCAAATTTCAAATTTTGTATGAGTAAATTTAAACTCTAATTGAACACATTTTTTTATATAATTATATAATATATTCTTTATGCACATGGCATTCCATAAACTCAAATGTCATTTTATAAGTCCAAGACCACTTTTTTGTGGAGATAATTCAAATGAATTTTTTTTCTTTTAAAAGTCCTAAGTTTAGACATCCAGAAAAACATTAAAGACTCATACGATATATACATTTATATATATTTAAATTTTTATTTATGGCTTAAATGATTTTTTTTTTTAATTCTGAAGTCCAATAATTGACCCACGGCCCGCAACATTTGCTTTCTTCATCCCTTTTCTTACATTGTTTCAGATATCGAATAGGCTTTCATCGAAAAGTTAATTAATATTGTAATCCCAAGAACCACCATAAATAACAAAAGCATATCAAATAGACTTTCATTGTAAAGCCAGAGATTTAATTAATATTGCATCGTTTCATATTTTCTATTAATCGGGAATCGGAATCCTTAATCCTAATATCATAACATTTAATAACTCCATTAATTCAATAAATGTAATCCTTTGTTATGGGCGAGAAAAAAAATAGCTATTTTATTATTCAAATGTTGTGCTTATTATTATTATTTTTCTATTTATTATTTATTTATTTTTTATTTTTTATAGTAAAAGATGTTGTGGCTATTTTATATTTATAGCTAGTAATAATAATAATGTTGGTAATTAAGTGTAACATTAATTACTTCCCAACCATATAGCTTTATTATATGTAAGATTTTAAGTTCATAATGTCAAAGCTCTGTGTTCATAATTTTATAACTGCACATTCATACTTCCATAACTGCACATTCATACTTTCATAACTGTGCATTCGTAATTCCGTAACTGTACATTTATAATTTCTTTAACTGTAAATTCATAATTTTAGAGCTCTATGTTCACAATTTTAGAGCTCTATGTTCACAATTTTAGAGCTCTATGTTCATAATTTTATCACTATATGTTCATAATGTTAGAGCTCTGTGTTCATAATTCCATAACTGTACATTCATAATTCCATAACTGTACATTCATAATTCCCTAACTCTACATTCATAATTCCCTAACTGTACATTCATAATTCCATAACTGTACATTCATAATTTTCGAAGCTCCATGTTCACAATTTTAGAGCTCTATGTTCATAATTTTAGCACTATATATTCATAATTGTAAGTTCATAATGTCAGAGTTCTGTGTTCATAATTCCATAACTTACATTCATAATTCTATAACTGTACATTCATAATTCTACAAACGAATAACGCCGTTAACAGCGAGACAAAATCATTTTTTTTGAACTGAAATGCCGCGTTTTCCATGAAAACGACGTCGTTTTGGACTTGTGTCCACAATGCATTGTGGACACCAATCATTATTGTGTGGACCATGGTCTACACAAGTTGTGTAGATCATATTTTGTATACTGTAAAATAATGTACATTCAGTACAAAAATAATGTACATTTAGCACAAAAAATTATGTACATTGTATTCATGGGATGTACATTATTTTTGTACTGAATGTACATTATATTATATAATGTACATTCAGTACAAAAATAATGTACATTCAGTATATTAAAAATGTACTTTTTGTTATGATCCACATAACATTGTGTGGACCATGGTCCATACAATAAAATAGTTTGCCTTGTGGACCAATCGTTATGCGTTGGACCCGTGTCCAACATGCTTGCTGGACACGGGTAACAGTGCCGTTAGGCACTGTTATCTCTCTCTCTTTTTTTTTTTTTTTTTTTTTTAAATTTCAGACCGCTTCGTTATAGGAGTATATGTTCATAATTTTATTACTATATGTTAATAACTGTACATTCATAACTCCATAACTGTACGTTCATAACTCTATAACTGTACATTCATAACTCTATAACTGTACATTCATAACTCTATAACTGTACATTCATAACTCCATAACTGTAGATTCATAACTCCATAATTATACATTCATAATTTTCGAAGCTCTATGTTCCCAATTTTAGAGCTCTATGTTCATAATTTTATCACTATATGTTCATAATTGTAAGTTCATAATGTTAGAGCCCTTTGTTCATAATTCGATCAATAACTGTACATTCATAATTCCATAAGTGTAGATTCATAATCTCATAACTGTAGATTCATAACTCCATAACTGTAGATTCATAACTCTATAACTGTACATTCATAACTCCATAATTGTACATTCATAATCTTCGAAGCTCTATATTCACAATTTTAAAGCTCCATGGTCATAATTTTATCACTATATATGTTCATAATTGTAAATTCATAATGTTAGAGCTCTGTATTCATAATTTCATAATTGCATAACTGTACATTCATAATCCAAAAAAAAAAAATAACGCCGTCAACGACGTTAAAGGCAAAACGCGCGCGATTTTTTTTTTTTTAACTAAATGACGCGTTTTTAAAAAAAAAACGACGTCGTTTTTGGTTCGTGTCCACAATTCATTGTGGACACGGGTCCGGGGCATAATTTGCCCTTGTGGACACGAGTCCACAGCCTAATTTGCGCAGTGACCCGAAATGAGCGAAAGATGAGTATATACAGCCTAAACGGGCCCATTGGGCTTCTTGTTTCCAGAGTAAAGACCCAACTCTTGTAAACCCTAGCTATAAACGAGGAGACAGAGGAAGAAGAAGAGAGCGAGGAAATTGGCGTGTGATATCAGAGAAAATGCAGATTTTCGTGAAGACTCTCACCGGCAAGACCATCACACTTGAGGTCGAGTCTAGCGACACTATTGACAATGTCAAGGCTAAGATTCAAGACAAGGAAGGTGTAAATCTGTATATAATCTCTTGTTTGCATGTCTATGCGCTTAATTTCTATTTCAGATCGTATTTCGCTTAAGTATATTCGTATATCGTGGTTTAGGAATTCCACCGGATCAACAGAGGTTGATTTTTGCTGGTAAGCAGCTGGAAGATGGCCGTACCCTTGCTGACTACAATATTCAGAAAGGTAAACGTTTTCTCCTGCATTTTTTATGTCTGTATTTTTTAGCGGCAATTACTCTGTATAAAATTTGTTCTTTTTGTGTGCTCTATTCGGAATTGAAACAGAGTCTACTCTGCATCTGGTGCTGAGGCTTCGTGGAGGAATTATTGAGCCGTCTTTGATGGCCTTGGCTAGGAAGTATAACCAAGATAAGATGATCTGCCGCAAGTATGTTCTTGTACTATTATAATTGTTTTTTACTTCTGTATTTGCCTATGATGATTCCCTGCATATACATCTTTATAATTCAATTTCTGGAAATCTATTTTGGTTGAGCTTGAAAAAAACCAGCTTGGTGAAACTTACTCTTGTTTACTTGCTCAAATTTTGGATCATAGACTCATAGTTTCTGAGCCAAAACTTCACCTTTCACTTTTATTGAAGCATTTGACTGTAGTAGATTAGATAAGGAAATGGTCTAATAGGCCCTTAGAACCTTATAAAAAAAGCAATTAGGCTCCTAAACTTTAAAACGTTGTAATTAAACACATAAGCATTACTTGTTTTTAACGTTTAGAGTCTTAATTGCTTTTTTTTTCTTTTTTTTTTTTGTATAAAGTTCAGGTTCCCGATGTTATTCTATACAGTAGGTCTGTATGTTCATCACAATGTAATAATGATGAACAAGATCTTGAGCTAGGCATGAGCTGTGTCCTTTTATTGCTGTTGTATCTAATTGTTGCTTTTTAACATTATTGCAATGTATTTCCTTGTTATCATGTCTAATCTATTATTCTAGCTCATAATATGCAAGAAAAATTTGAATTTATGTTTTTGTAGACTTATATTTGGCTTGTGTGTCCTGGTAGATGTCCTGGTTTATTCAGTGTGCTCACATGTTAGATTTCTAGTTTATATTCAAGTCATCTCTATGATGCCAAAATTATATCATTTTATGGTTGCTAGTTTGTATCTTTAACCATATTGGCTGGGGTTACCCCCTCTTTTTGTTTTCTTGTATTTTTGAACTTTGTGGTCTGGCTTGTTTCGTTAGGTGCTATGCACGTTTGCATCCTCGCGCTGTCAACTGCCGCAAAAAGAAATGTGGGCACAGCAATCAGGTGTTTTTTGCTAACCCTGCATTAGATTTTACTGAGTTGTGTTACCTTTTGACTACCACAGCCTCACATAACACATTTCCTATTCGTTTCGGTTGCAGTTGAGGCCAAAGAAGAAGATCAAGTAGATTTTGTGTCTGAAGATTTGCCAGTCTTGTAGTGTATGGTTTTTAGAAATATCAAGACCAAGGGAATTAATTATTATTATTCTGCTTTATTGTTTGACTGTATGAGTTGTCCAAAACTATTGATATGGGTATTGGTACTTGTCAATTTTTGAATCATCTTAAAAATATTTTGGCATTATGTTGAACTTTACCTGTTTTGTTCATGTTGGGTAGAGCTGTTAAGTTTGCGCTATTATAATAGATATTTCTGTGATGTTCAATCCAAGAATAGAGAATGCTCATTTAGTTGATGAAAATGATATTATCATCAGGATTTCTCATGTTAATCTCCATGGAGTTAGCTCCCACTCAACATGCCTTTCTAAAAACTCAATTGCATTGTAAATGTCACAAATGTAAAATAATAAGATGTTCTCATACATTAAAGTTAATAGTATGTTTACTTCACGAATGCATTATGGATAAATAGTTACTCCGTATTTCATTGATCAGTTGGTATTTTAAATATACTCCCTTTGTGCCATTTTACATTTTTACCTATCTAGTTTGTTATTATAGTCAAATTATAATGTTTTTTCTTTGCTTAATTTTATTAGTGTTAGTGTTTATTGCATAAATCCCATAATTGGCAAATTATTATGGCAAATAGAATAGGTTAGACAAATTATTATAGTCAAATTATAATGTTTTTTCTTTGCTTAATTTTATTAGTGTTAGTGTTTATTGCATAAATCCCATAATTGGCAAATTATTATGGCAAATAGAATAGGTTAGACAAATTATTGCTGGACGGAGAATAACTGTTCAGAAGTATTTTACATGATTATCCTCATTCAATTGAGAAATCAAAATATTTTCTCAATTAAAACTTCAAGGGTGAAATATCTAGGGGTTGTTTACTTCATTTTTCTTTTTTTCAATTTTCAATTTCTCCATTTTTCAAATTTTCTTTTTCCATTTCTCCAATTTTTCACTTCTTCAATTTTTTAATTTTCATTCCTTATTCTTTCAGTTCTTCATTTCTCTAATAATAAAAGAAATGGAAAAAAAAAAAGAGAGAAAAAGGGAAGACAGAGGGAGAAAAAAAAAGGAAGACCAAGAGGAAAAAAAAAAAAAGTAAGAAAGGAGGGGAAAAAACGAAAGGAAGAAAGAAAGGCGGCCGGGGGGGGGGGGGGGGGGGGGGGCGTGTGTGTGGACAGAAGGAAAAGAAGAATGGGAAAAAACAAGAAGGAATTGAAGATTACAAGGGGAAACAGACACAACACCGCTTGACAAGCCGCAAGTAGGAATCAATCTCACGACCTTGTGCACTATTCATCCGAAATTACTGTTCACTCGTGTATTTCATTCTTCTATTTGGAGAATACTTATTCTCAATTCTTCAAAATTGTATAAAAAGTGGAAGAATGGAGATGAGATTGAAATTGAAAAAATAAATTTAGTAAACAACTTCTTCAATTTTCATTTTTTCACTTCTCCAATTCTCTACTTTTCAGAAAATCCTCCACTTTTCTAAATTGGTAAACGGACCTCTAGTAACTACCCTCACTCATTTTAGAATATATAATCTTCTTCCAAAAGGCTGAACCCCAACCCTAAAGACCCCCCACACCCTGACCCGACAGAGCATTTGGGAGGAAGTAAATCATGGTAACTCAACTGAACATGAACCACAGAGGCTAGACCGTGCTCACTGCGCACAAGGAACCCCCCTCACTTTGAGAGGTTGCTCCCACACTGCCGCTGGTGAGACTCGATCCCTGGTCATTCTTCCAAAGTTTCACCTCTGTGGAGAGAGAAATTAGTTAGAGATCAAGAGAAACAAATTAGATTCGATTGAAAGAATCTCTCTCGACAAGATTTTACAAGAAAATATTCTAGAAAATCTCTCACAAGATATTCATTGAATATTGAAATTGATCAGATCTTGAGGAGAACAAAAGAGATTTTCTCTTCTACTGGGCCGTGTTCCATATTAGATTTGGTGCAGAGGTGAATCAGCGAGACGGACAATCGAGCTATGGATCTCTGATATTCTTCAGACAACTGAAGGCGCAAATCTTTGAGCTCTTGGGTACTTACAGTCAATTACAATGTGGGATATATGTATATCACATACCGGTGAGATCATTCTCTTACTATTTGTTTGAACAACCTTTGAGATAGTGGATTGGATTCACCGTTGGTGGTCCCTCATCATACATAGGTTGTGTTTACATCAAATTGGGTAAACAAATCTCTGTGTGTTTATTTGCTTTTACTCACTGTTTGATTCATTTTTACTTCATAATTGAAACATGAATTGTTAATTGGTTAAACCGTAATTGAATCAGTAATCATACTTTGAACACACAATTTAAAGAATTGTATTTCAACAAGTATTAGCTATTTGCTTAACGCCTTATTAAACCAAATTTGAGTCAGTATTCGTAATTCGTAATCGATATAAACTATTAAATACTTTAAGTTAATAAGGATAATATTCGAGGAACACTTGAACTCTCAGTCGATATCAGACTTTTTAAATATACATAGTGATTTGATCTTATAGGGCTGTGTTGTGATTCATGTTTCTTGAATTAATTCTTGATTAATTGATATAATCTTATGATATTTGTGAATTTATGTACGTATTTCTTGGTGGTGTTGTGTCTTGATTTTTTCTGACAAAATGGAGAATAATATGAGACCTCCAGAAATGGATAAACGAATTACTCGTTCTGGAAGGCCAGACTCAAAATATACCTCCAAGTGCAAGGTTCACGTGTAACTCAAAGGAATAATAGTAATTCCAATCAAAGTTCGAAGTTCACACCAAAATCGAGTTTATCCACATCAAAGCTCACACTATCTTCACGAGTTGGCCAAACTAGATATTCTTCTTCAAATGATTTTTAAAATTCTAATAAAGGTGTTTGATGTCATCAATGTGAAGGTTTTGGTCACATTCAATCCGAATGTGCAACATTCTTGAAATAGAAGAAATTCATGGGTGTTGTAACATGGAGCGATGAAGAGTGATTGTAGCAAAAATGAGTGATGGTGAGTGTACGGGTGTGAAATGTTGTCCTCAAGGGATTGAGGGTTATGGCACGTAATATGCAATCACAAGCAACTAGGCACTAGCACTAGGAAATCAACAAGAAGCTAAGCAAACACCAAGTTTAAGGAAATGGTATGACTAACACACACAAAGATAAACACAAAATAAAGAATAGGACTGAAGCTAGGGAGCATTATCTTCTAGATGCATAACACATCCTAAAGATTAGGGAAAATCACACAACCAAGGAATTAAGGGGATGCACGTAGGAATCCTAGTCTATACGTCACTCACGTGATCAAATTAACAAGGATTAGAACAAGGAATTGCCTCATTCTCATGATGCATCAACTCCAAGTTCTTCAAGCACCCTAAACATCAAAGCCCCCAATTTCTCCTTCTTCAAGCACACTAAACATCAAAGCCCCCAATTTCTCCTATTTTCGTAGGAAGAAATCGGGTTTATGCAAGTAGTGACTTGGAATCTTGACCCAACTCTCATGGAGGTCAAGAATCCTCCAAAACATGCTAATGAATGTTGTACACCAACCATTAACAATATACAAACATAAATCCTTCATAAACTCAAGAACCCTAGGTAGGCAAAAATCATCTTTATGTAATAATCACAAGCTAAGCATCAATATAGGTAATACAACCGTAGCTCAAGCCCATAAACTAACTACTCATGATTCAATATCATATAGAACACAAAAACATAAGTGTAAAGCATAAACATTGCAAGATAAAGAGACAAAAGGGAAAAGAAGCTTCTCTATTGAAATAGATGGTAGAATCTTGAAATTCAAGTGTAGATCCTTCAATACAAGCTTCAAAGATGATAAAGAACCTAAACCTACACCTATTCTAACCTAAACATATGAAAGGAAGTGAAAGAAAATGACTAGGGTTCGAATCGGGTAAAAAACCATATAGAAATGACAAAATTCGCGCCTAAATAGTGAATAGAGCACAGAGGGACGCCCTCAGGGACGGGTGTACACCAGGGGGTACGCCTCCTGCTTCTTTTTTTGAGATCTTGGATGGGCTGATGGATGCGTGTACGCAAGGGCGTCCGATTTTTTTGAACATTCCAGTGAGCACTGGATTTGGGACAAAATTAATGTATGCCCCGAGGGACGGGTGTACGCGAGGCAGTACGAGTTCCTCAACTACACACTACTTATGGATGGGTAGGCGGACGGATGTACGCGAGGCAATACGAGACTCTTGAAAATTCCTAAGTGCATTCCAAACTCTTTGATTGATCTCTTGGTCTAAGAATTGCTCAGATATTTCCAAAAATCAATGGATTCCTCACTTGTTGTGAATAATTGCAACTTAAAATAAAACCAACTCAAACTAGTAACAATTCACACAAATTTTTAGGCAATTCACAAATAAAATGGGTTTAAGAAGATGTAAAAATATAGACAAAAACGCACTTATCAAGGAGCAAGAAGATCTTGAGCTACTTGACGAAGGAAATGAAGATGACCTTTATGGAAACTTTGTGGCATTTACTGCACGGAGTTCTGTTCAATTAGATTCATAAGCAGAAGGCTATTAGTCATCAGATGATTTTGAAGACATATATAGTTAACTGAGGAAGGAGTATACTAACCTTCTTGCAAAATGGGACATTCTGTTGAAAGCAAACATGACCTTGAATGGTCAAAACCATATTTATGAAGATTCATTGACGAAATTGAATGTTGAAATTGCTATAAAGGATAATCTAATCAACCAGATTTGAATTTGAGAAGGAAAACTGTCGAAGGAATTCGAAGATCTAAAGAAGAATGTTAAGATGTTGAATGCAACATCAACTTTGGATGAAATCTTAGGTTCTGGAAGGAAGGATCAATTTCAAAATTGGACTAGGATACAAAAGGATCAGTTAAAATCTGGTTAATCAATGTCTGTTAAAGGAATTGTGGAAGTTTCTACTGAACCAGATAGACGTACAGTACATGCAAAGTACAGAAGAAGAAGAAGAAGAGTGAGACAGTACGTTCCTATTTGTCATTACTGCCCTAAAAGAAGGCACACTCGTCTAGAGTGTTTTTATTTTTACAAAGATCAACGGCAGGAGAAGTACAAAAAGAAGGATATTACACCTTTCAAGTGAAAAATATGGTTTAGAAAGTTAGATGTGATCTATTATTCAACTATTATTT